GTTCAGCTGCTGTGCTTTTCATTGCCTTTTGTAGGACAAGGCTGGGACTAGGATGTGACTCCGTGTGCCCTCTTCCCCCTGCCTACCTTGAAAAAGAAATTGCAGAAGAGCTTTCTCGGGCATGGTTAGTCCCACAGACAGGAGAATGGCCAGGTTACTAATGGCTAGGGAGCACACATCTGATGGGGATACCCTCAGCCCATGCACCCTGTCCCTGCTGTGCCAGGCAGCCCATGTGTATGGTCCCATTTGAAGGCCACATGGCAGCCATCTGCACAAGCATGTACATTTTTGGGGCTGGGCAAATCCATTAGGAATGGGCTCTGAAGTCTTTGCTGCCCATGGGCTCATGTTTTGCTGTGCAAGGTCCCTGGCACCCGCTTTCTGCCCATCCCTGCTTGGTTTTCCAGTGGGTGAATGCTCATCTGGACCACAGTTAGGTTTCTTTGTGCAGAAAGGCAGCTTAGATGGCTAATTGTCCAGCAGCAAATCTGCTCACACTAAGGTAGGCAGGTAATCTACAGTGCTTTCAACAAAGGCTGTGAGTACAGCGTGAGGATATTTTTTAATTGCCTTTCAGCAGTTTTCTTGCTCCTGATGCAGATGCACCAGCCCCTGGTCCCCCATGGGACAGCCGCAGCCACCTCAGGTAGCTCAAAGGGGCCTGTGTGTTGACAGATCGATGGGCTGGGGAATGTGTCACGTCGGCTCCTTGAAATCGGTATTTCAGAAATTGGCTCCGTGCTGCTTCTAACCTCCCCCAGCACACATGCACCCCACCTGCTGGGTATCAGGCTCTCATTTGATCCTGTGCTCAAATAACACGGTGTTTTGGTTTTAATTAATGTTGCAGAGAGGGGAAAATGACCTTTGGTCTCTGTGGGAGCCTGACTTGGCCGCAGGCTCAGGACAGTATCTAAGATGGAAGCTCTTGGCTTAGATGGGGGGAGTCAAGGTCGGCTCCTGGCTTGTGACAGCACCCTGAGATGTGACTGGGGACTGAGCACCACCTGAAATAAAATAACCTGAATACACGTGGGATCTGGGGGTGATCTCACACGTGAGCTGTAAAGCCACAAAAATCATAATGCCCCAGTGCCCACAGAGCTAATGAAAAACTTTCAAACCCAAATACACACATAGTGACAGCCAGGAAAAGTACCTAAATCATTTCTGTCTCAGCTTTCTGTGTCCTCCTATCCACTCCCCATCTCTCGCCGTCACTGTGGTTGATGGCTGCTGAAAAGCCTTGTCTGATTCCTGCATCTGGTTCCTAACGTACAGGCCAGCAGCGCTGTGAAGGAGAAAATGCTGCTGCTCATGTAAGCTGTCCTGTGTGCTGGCAGGGCTGTGAGTTTCAGAACAGAGTGATGTATTTCAGCTCTTGTGAAATTTCTGAATAATCAGCTCATCAAAAAGTATCATGCCGAGTTCCCTTGTAGTCCTCTCCAACTTGCCACCTCTCCTGCCAATAGCTCTGTAGGGTGACCACAGCTTGGCATAGCCCATTAGCAGAGCTCTGCACAATCACTCATGAATAGAGCTGGCTGGAAAATACAATTTTTCTTCTTAGGAAAAAAAAGAGATTTGGTAGGGCAGGGGGGTTATTTGGCTTGGCATTTCAGGATGAAGATTTTCTCCGTGGCTCCCTCCAGCACACTCTTCTGCTCGCCCCTGCACCCCACCCTTTTTCCTCCCAACCTCATTTTTTAGAAGGTGACTCCAAGAAAATAAAAACTCCACTTAAAGTGGCAGAGTCATTGGATGCTGTTTAATCTGCTGGTGACTCCTCCCCACCCACAGGGCTAGGAGTCTCACTGCAGAATGGGCACCAACCCACTGGCTCCTTCTCCAGCTGGGACTCCTGGGCAAGTTGTCCTTGGACCAGCACTTTTTTGCTGCCACTGCCCCGTTTCTTCTTCAGAGTTTCTTACAGATATTGCCCTCCTTGAGCATCTCAAGAACCTGCTGTTTAGGCATCTGGGAGCTGGCAGCCATGTCTGTGTTCACTGGGAGATGGTAGGTACTGGAAGGACCTCGAGGTAAACCTGACCCATGACGCTGCAGAGACAAGGGGTTGAGCAGCAAGAGTTGCTGGCCTGCCTTCAGCTGCTCCTCTCTGTCCTGGGTGGCCTCCAGATATATCCTCCTGTGCTTTCCCCTTCCTTTTGGACATGTGTTTCTTAGTCACAGGTGATCGTTGCTTTGCCTGGAAAGAGCAGACTTCCTCGCTGTGTCCTCTAATGATGCTCAGAGCTGAAATGCCAGGAGGAGGCCAGGCTGGTTGCAGACCCTGTCCTTAAGGTGGGCAGCAAATGGCAAGTGCTGCTGAGGCAGGAGGTGCAAAAATCAATGGTGAGTCCATTAGGATTAAAGCTGTGGCATCAAAGCCTTATAGAGCCAGGATTATTATTATTTTTAGACCCGTGGTAGCTACATTGAGCATGGCACTTGGTGTAACATGGGTTGAGTACTTGTGTCTAAGTACTGTACACACAGATGGGACACAACGGCACCCATCAGTGAGGGGTGGCTCCAGTGCTGTTTTCGAGCACTGCCCGTCTCCTCCTTGGCTCTGCCCACAACCTGGCCCCCAGCTGCTGAGCACTTGCTCCGTCCCTCTTTACTTGTGTCACCCTCTCTCTTTCTACTCAGGCTTTTGTCATTTCTTTTGTCACCATAGTGACAGCAAAAGAGTGATGATTGCTGGAGTAATTTCCCATATTAGCTAGTGCTGGCCTTTCAGCCGAAATCAGTGCTTCGGTTTCTCCCGGGCTCCGGCTGAGCCTCTGCAGAGCCGCGTTAAAAAGCAGCAGCATAGGGGGCTCGGAGCATCGTGGTGCTGCCAGTGCTCCTCCAGCACAGGGCCTTCAGGTCACCTCGTGTCCCACCTCTGCACACTAGGGCTGCACAGAGAAAAGGGAAAAAAAAATCCAATTTACAAAGTGGAGTGCATTTGCTGTGAGTCTCGTGGTCTGTAAAACCAGGGATTTGGGCACTTCTGTCTGTTTTGGGGCATGGGGACATCCACAGGGTGCACAGGAAGAGCTCCCCGGAGGTAGCCACTCGCTCCAACCCATACAGCGAGTTAGCAAATACGCCCAGTACCCCCAGGCTGTGCCCCTTCCCACCTCTGCAGCCCCCGCTGCCCCCAGGGAGCCCAGACCAGGGCTGGGATCAAACCTGGGCTCACACTGGGGCAAGGGGGCAGCTCCATACAAAATACTGCTCTTTCCAAGGCATTGTTAGTCATCTGGAGCATCTCAGAGAGACATACAGGATACATAAACACAAATACATACTTGAAAATCAAGATCATTAAGTACGCAAATACGTTTAAATAACAAACAAGCTATTGAAAAGCAGAGAAAGGTCACAAAATGCGAAATGAAAGCTGCTCTTCTGTTCTCTGCTCCAGCAGCACCCGTCCCTGCCACAGAGGAGGATATATTAAGAAGAGTCAGCCTTCATTTCAAGCGTGCTGCCTTTTGTCCTCATATCACAACATTAACATTATCCCCACATAATTTTGTGTATTTAATTTTACAATAGGCTGTGCCAGTGAGCGCTGCCTGTAAATATTTGATCACCACCGTTCCTCTAGGATTATCTTATCAAGAGTAAAGATATTAAAATAGAAATCTTGTCATGTTACTGCCTTTATACTTCCAGCCTGAGAGTTGATTGACAGAAAATGAACTGCCTGAACTAGCTCCAAAGTGTCTTTTCACAGAGAGCTTTAATGCCAGAGGCTACAGGAAAAAAGGTAGCTAGTCATCAGAAACTAATGCCTTGCTGTAGTTATGGAGCTTTTGTACTCAAGATTAAAAAATATGAATCTACTAGGGGTATTTTTACAAGCGTAAAATGGTGTTGGTCTTTTTGTATCTTTTTGCCATCTCTAATGAGCCTTAAAAAGAGCCTTGCCTTTTCTTCCTGCACCTGAATATTAGATGTGGCCTCACCACAGCACCCAGACACGGGCTGAAGTTTTGCAAGAGTAAGCTCTTGACTTATCTAACCTACAAATTTCTTTTTGGTGATAAAACGGATTGCGAGCCAGGACTGAATGTTCCTGCCTAGCTTGGAATATCAAACCACTATAGACAAGTCAAGGTTTCTATTTATGGCCAGTTAAAGACACACCGGTAATGCTGTTTTAATGTTACAAAATTGCCCTGAAATTGTCATGTGTCTGAAGAGCACCACGCTGCAAATATATAGCCAGTCCCCGAGGGCTTGCTCAGCCTGTGCTCCAGCACAAATCAATGAGAGTTTTTGCTGGAGTAAGGACCCAAGCGCCAATTCAAGGAAGTACCTAAGCACAAGCAAACTTTAATCACAAGCTCGTGCTCCTTAGAAATCGATAGAGGCAGAGGCTGGCTGGGGCCAGGGGATGGTCAGGGCTGCGCGGCCGCATCCCTGCAGCTCCTGCGCCCAGGCGGGCGAAGGGCCAGCGGTTCCCGGCATCCAGAATAAATCTGGCTTTGTCCTGTCATGATCCTGGAGGGCAGGAGAGGGGGGTTAGTTCACTGATCTGTCCCATCGCAATGACAAACTGCAGCCACCGGCGTTAAATCACCCGAGATTGTCAAGGCGGTAACAAAAGTGTTATTGAGGGACAACTGAGGTTGGAGTGGCTGGAGGAGACAGCAGAACCTGGAGCACTCTGCTTTAGCCAGATCATTCCTCCTACTTTTTTTCCCCTCCAACATGAACAATGACTGTATGAAATTAAAATAATTGGACACTAACAGCACGTTATTGAGCTGACATGAAAAGGATTTACAGGGGTGGCCCCCATTAACAGCAATGGGTGGTCCCCTCCACGCTCTCCCTGGGCTCTAAATGCAGAAAAGCTTGTCCTAATATTTCACTTAAGTGAAAGGTCAAGAGCTGTGGGTTTGTTCAGTGTGCTCAATATATTCAATTAAAATATACTGGCGTGTTCATCACTTATTAACTGTTTTTGCAATAGCTGTAATTAAACAGATACTTACCTGTGAAAGGAAATCTTTCAAGACAAACTCTGACGTGTTGGCTGAGGAGAGCGGGAACTTCCCAGGTATCTGACATGGCTTTGCTTGGTGTCTCCACACAAACTCCTCAACCGCTGGGAGTTTTCCTTCCCTGCTGCTGGAGTGAGGATGGCTTCATGTCCCACTGATGGCCACCGATTTCCACGTAGGTAGGACATGTCTGCAGAAGGGGGGGGGGTGGCCAGATCCAGCTCCTGCACCTCCCTTCCCTGGGCACTCCGGGGGGAAGCTGAGCAGCAGCAGCGCTGGATGCTTGGCAGCCCTGGGGGAACAAAACCAGCCAGGCAATTTTCTCAACCAGGCAATTCACTTGCAGAAATATCATTTACCAACTTCCACGTAGAGCCTTAGGGATAAGAAATGGAGAATGAGAGAGAGAGTCGGCAGCTCAGGAGTTTTTAGCAAACTCAGAGGTTTTAGAGGGTTTAGCAGCTGGTGGCCTCCAATTCAATGGGCGGCAGAGTTAAAAGCCACACACCCTGCTTTGAAAACCTCCTCCAAAGAGCCTGAAATGAAGAAAAAAACCCCAACAAGGCAGAGTAGTGCAAACCAGAGTAAGGAACTGAAGGAAGCAAAAAAGTAATTACCTGAGCCAACTGTTCTAATTATATACACACAGCAGACAAACGGTGATAGCAATTGTTGGTGCTCTTAAGATGGATAGCAGGGAAATGGAGAAACAGTAGAAAATAACACATATTAAGGAATTAGTATTCATTATGCTAAGGAAGGGGGTGGGTATTTACATTAGTCAGAAATCAGGCATGCAGAGAGATGGGTGACAGCAAGGGGAAGCGTAGCAGAGAAAACCCAGAGCGCAGCTGTGACGGGTTTCCCCAGTAGCTGTGAACGGGGGGTGCTGAACCAGGTGTGATGCCACCAGCACCACTGCTCTTCCCCAGAGACTGTTCAGGGCTGAGCAGCACGTGCTTGTCCCAGGAGTGATGCTCTTATCAGCCAGCTTAGTCTCCTGCGTGTACCTTCCTACATGCTACAATACAGCATTTCCCCAGGAGGCTCTGGAGCACCCGGTGAACATGTACAAGGTACAAAGGGGTGTACCCTGCACAGGCAATGGTTGTCCAGTCATGGACAGCCCCAGCATTGCTCAGGTTTATCACAGCTCTGTGCAGCTGATGGCATCCAACATGCAGCTCCGGCTGCGTCCAGGTAAGGGCTGGAGCAGGGCACGAGGGAGCCCAGCCCCTTGGGGAACATGGGCACAGGATAGCACACTATGTGTGATGAGGTGAGTGTGCTCCCTCTTGCCTCCCTCTTGGGCTTTGGGGGGGAAAATAGGGTGCCCCTTACCATGCTCAGCAGCTGGTTTTGATCGTCTGTGTGCTGACAATCTTCCAGGTCCTTTCACTAAAATGTCCTGAAGCTCCTTGTGAGTTTGTGCCATCCTCCTCATCAGGTACCATCAGCAAACACCCACGTTCCTCTGTGGGACCCTTAATGAAGATAGATAGTGATCAAAGGAAGCTTCAGCCTAGTCCTTGATAAACCTCTCCTTTCATAATTATGGGGCCCTATTAGCCAGTTCCCACCCATTTCTGAGGTACTCAATTAATCATCTCCATCTTCTCCAGCATGACTTACAATGTTAGACATTCAGAGCACTATAGCAGGGGATTCATTGAAATCCCAGAGGAGCAGAACTGTTGGATTTCCTTTATCTGCAAGATCAGTTAGGAATTTCACGTTAATCTTGATTGGTGAATCATGTTGCAATTTATCCCATTTGTCTTCATGTCTCTGTAAATGGTCTTTCAGGAAAAAGGTCACCAAGCTCTGAGTGTTGGACCCTGTTCACTCAGCAAGCCCTTAAATAGTGGCACTACATTGGCCAAATCCACTCACATAGTCCCACCCTGAGGGTGATACCCTTGTTGAGCACCCACTCATGGGACCACGGGCCAGATCCTTCAAATCTGCAGGACAGAGACTGCCCACTTCCTGATGTCAGGCACCCAAGCCTGCTCCTTAGGTAGCTAACATACCTAACAAACATGCAAGTACCTAAAAACATCCTGTTGCACATTCCCGCTAAGCAATCAATCAGGTGCCATAAAACCTAACTTGGCATGGGCTGTTGGACTTGGGATTTCATTTCTGCACATCTTTCTTAAGCTCCAGTTTTGCATTCAGTCCCTTTGCCACGCTGTCTTCAGCCCATGCTCCAAATCTGGCTCCTCATCCAAAAGCCAGGCATTTCTCCCACTTTTTGAGGAAGTTGTACATTTTAATAGTCTTTCCTAAGTCCATCTAAGCATACTTTTTGGCATAACTCTCTTCATCCTTTCCCTTCCTGAGCTATTACACAGAGTTTGCTTTGCTGCCAGGTCTTCTTTCTTTGTGCCACTTAGACTCTGCTAATCCTTGGTGTCCTTTCTAAGAAGACATTTTTTTCATTCAATTCCAGCTCCTTCCTAAAAGTTTTTTTCCCCTTAAACTGAGAGGCATTTTCCAGATCTGAAGCAGGTGGCCTGTCCCTGCCCGCTCACCGTGCAACGATGCAGACGGCGGAGTTGCACAGCTCCTTGGGTGATCAAGCGTTTTATAAATTTCAAGCTAGAGATGTTAAAAAAAAAAAAAAAAAAGGAAAAAAAAAATTCTTTCCAGGGAGCCAAAAAAAACCCCCAAAACCAAAAAAAACCCCTGTGTGATGAAGCCTTTAAATATCATTACCAAAAAGACAAAAGTTGGAGGATGTGTTGCTTATAAAGTTAAAAAAAAAAAAAAAAAGGAAAAAAAATAGTCTTTCCAGGGAGCACAAAAAAACCCCCAAAACCAAAAACCAACTTTAGCCAACTGTACGCGGGCATAAACATTGCACTGTCTTAAGTCTGCACAGATGTTTGTGCCTCAGCTAAACCGAGTTTCCAGGTACTGCCCGCAGGCTCAGGCTCCTCCAGCAGCACTCGCCAGCCCCCCCGAGCCCTGTAACCAGAAGGGAAGGGAACACTGAATCCCAAAGCTCTCCTGGCATAAACCAGGCTGCAGATCACAAGCAAACCGTCAGTAAGTATCTGTGCTATAAACACTAAACAGGGAGTTTCTAGTCAAATCCAGCAGCCAAGAAGAAAAGCATCCCTTTCCATCCTCAGTCACCTCTCCAAAGACCTCACCGTCACTGCTGGCCCTGGAGCAGGGCTCTGGCTCTACGCTGTTCTCAGCTGCTCTCTGCAGGGACTTTTTGATTGGGTTGAGGCAGCAATTGTAAGTAAAACAAGAAAGGAAAATTAGCAGTTGCAAGACAGCGAGCCCTGGGTGTGTGTGCACACCTGTGCATCTCCCGTAGGATGAGCTTCAGCACACTTCATGTTTATCAGGTCTAAACACAGACAGATGCCTGGAAAAGCGGAGTGCGGGCGGGAGATGGAAATCCCATCCTTTCCCTATAGAGTGGCACAAAGAGACGGAGACACAAACACAAATTATAAGGCACAAGCTCAAACTAAGATGCTGCAGGCACTTGGTCACGCTTTGGTGGACAGGAGGGGTGGCAGCAGCAGCACAGGTCCCACACTGCCCACCAGGCTGGGGACCTCCCCCAGAACTTCTGGGCAGGGGATGTGCCATTGCTGAGCACAGGCACCAGGGCCACAGCCCACCCAGCAAAACACATCTATTGGACAGATATAGACATTATGACACAGAGAGAGAGAGACAGACAGACCGTTTTCAGGTATTTATATATAAAGGCCTTTACATATCTAAAAAAAGACTTTTTAAAAAAATTATTAAAATGTGTGTACATATATATATTTATATGCATACGTATAGGTGCTGGTTGCGTATGTATATATAAAGACCTTTAAAAGGCCTTTATACACACACATATTTACACATATATGTATATATACATATACACATGTATATAGCTCAAGGTCTTTTAGAACTATATATACGAATGTTTATATCTATATGTATATTTATATGAATATGCATATACTATATGAAATTAATATAAACAATATACATACACCATATATTAAATTATATACACATTATAATGCATATTTTATAGTAAACTAAGTGCAATTCCATTATAATATATTATATACTATCATTACGTAAATATGTTGTTATAATTTCATATATATAATATATGTTTTTAAAGGTCTTTTAAAGATCTTTATATATAATCAGCACACATATATACACACATACAAATACACATATATACATAGATTCTTATGTGTATCTTTTTGTGCATATGAATGAAAAAATAAATAAATAAAAATGGAGAAACAAGTTTATGGCATTTCAATTGCAGCCCCTGGGTAGGCCTGAGGTGCAGTGACGAGATCGCTCAAATAATTTGGCAGCCTCGTAATGAAAACTCTATTCTCCAACTGCTTTCATTTAAGCAGCTCTGTTTTAATAATACTTGCTTATTGCCTGGCAAATATAAATGGGAAAAGATGTAGATAACATCCTGTAACAATGCTAGACACTATATATACACACACAGAGGTGTATATGTGTGTGTGTGTATATACACACACATTTATGTATATGCATATGTACACCCCCCCACACACGGAGCATTTTACATTTCTCTCTGGGACCATCAGCAGGAACAGCTGCTCCACCAGGGCCGTGTGAGGCTGGGCTGGCACAAATACTTAGTGCAGAAAATCAGCAACCCATCACCAAAGATTACCTAAATTGTAGGAGAAGAGGAAGAATATTGCTCCCTGTAGCTCTGCAGAGTTTTATACAGTAAAATTGCGTGTGTGTATTTGTAAATGATGTCGGGTAGAAGTGGATAAAACTCCTGCACTACGTACAGACTGGTCACACCAGGAGCTGAGGAGCCAGCACTGGGGTGTGATGGGGCAAGAAGAGTGATGTGGGGCATCCTCCTGCTCTGCCCTATGGGGCAGCCCTTGCCCCAGGAGAAACCCCTCTGTGCAGGCACCCCTTGGTACATTTTACTTTTAAATCTGCTGGCTGCTGTTTTCGGCGCTGACACCTTACCTCTCCCCCAGCAGCCGTGCTGTCTGTCTGTCTGTCCAGACCCCGTGTGCCCGGCCACAGGCAGAGCCCCCCAGCTCACACACACAGCCCCGGCTGGGAAGGAGGATCTGTCACGCTGTGGCATTTCTCTTCTTCTCCAGCAAAGGGATCCTGCTGAAAGACATGAAGAAATAACATCAAAACCCCAGCCGGAGGCTGACAAACAAACTGACATTTAGCAGAAAAAAAAAAAAAAAAACCAAAAAAAAATAGGGGGGGGGGGAAGAAAACCC